ATATATATATATATTTTACCTCTGCATCAGCTTCCAGTTCAGTGGGCATGAAATTTGCATAAATTCCTCAAAACATCACCCAAAGGTTGGACTCATGCACACAGACCGTAGTAAGTTCAGCGTCCCTCATTACCTGGTATCTCCAGGCCCTCGAGTCGCTTCACAGAGACCATACTGAGTGCAGCATTAGTATGAGCTGGAGGCCCAGGCTCTGTGCAGTGGTCAAACTCTCCAGGGTGCAATTATCTATTACAAGCTGGGCTCAGTGTGGGACACCTTTCCCATGCTAGTGTCAGCAGGCAGCCAGAGATGTGGATGATTTCTTGGTGACCAGCCATGTCTAGAACAAAGCTAACTCGCATTCGGAGACGTGTCAAAGAAATTCACAAGTGGAAGCTTAAGGATGGTTTCTGAATGAGCATTTAGATGAATAGTTTTTTTTTAAGAATCTGAGAATGTGCTGCTTGCCATGTCTTTTGTTAAATTTCTAAAAACACATCTCAGAAGTTATGCTCTAGCGTGCTGCTATGGTCTTTCCYCAGTCTTCGCCTGAGAATAAAATCTACACAACCAACTGTGGCTGTGTCCAAACTCTGGGGCTGCATCCTTCAAAAGCTGAATTTGTTGGCCGCTTACGTCACTGAGTCACACTGAAGACGGTCCAAATTTGAAGACTGCTACAGTTTCAGCCTACAAATGTGTCTCTGATATTCCCTGATATTTGGGACGGGTCCGGAGGATCCTTCTCAACGAGTCCTTTCCCAAAATGCATTGCGGGCCGATCAGAGATTGTTTTGCTTGTAATGATGGATGAAGCAAAGGACAGTAGCACAGTTTGAAATAAAATCAAGCAGTACAAAAACATAAAGTTTAAAGCGGTTGTGTTGTTAGGCTTTTGTTATTAGCACAGTCATGTTTTTTTTAATATTCTTGTCAGAAATCATCATAAACGAGCTCATATTTCAGTTCCATTAGTTACCATACCATACCATACCAACTTTATTTATAAAGCACTTTAAAACAACCACAGCTGATACAAAGTGCTGTACATTAAAACAACATAATTAAAAACGGTTTAAAAACAAAAACATACAATTTAAAACTAGATCCCGCTGGTGTTAAAAGCCAAGTAAAACAGATGGGTTTTAAGACGAGCTTTAAAAGTGGGCAGTGAAGGGGCCTCTCTGACCTGCAAAGGCAGGTCATTCCATAATTTAGGGCCGATGACAGAGAAAGCCCTGTCCCCTCTGAGCTTCCTTTTTGTTCTCGGTACCTCCAAGAGCAGCTGATCTGCTGACCTGAGAGACCGATAAGGTACGTAGGGATGAAGAAGCTCAGAGAGGTAAGCCGGGGCAAGATTATGCAGTGATTTAAAAACAAACATAAGAATTTTAAAATGAATCCTAAAATATACAGGCAGCCAGTGAAGTGAGGCCAGGACAGGGGTCACATGTTCCCTCTTCTGAGTTCCTGTCAAAAGTCGTGCAGCAGCATTCTGAACCAGCTGCAGACGTGAGAGCAGTGACTGACTGACTCCCAGGTAAAGAGAGTTACAGTAATCTAAACGAGTTGAAATAAAAGCGTGGATCACTGTTTCAAAATGCTGCCTGGACAGAAAAGATTTCACCGAGGCCAATCGTCTTAAATGATAAAAGCTGGACTTAACCACGGCTTTGATTTGGCTGTCCAATTTAAAATCACTGTCCACCTTAAAACCAAGATCTGTAATAACAGGCTTAAAATATACCTCCAAGGGTCCCAGGTCCACAGAGGAGGACTCACAGGAGCCACTRGGTCCAAACACCATCACCTCTGTTTTGTTTTCATTAAAATTTAAGAAATTCAAGGCCAACCAAGCTTTAATATCTCCCAGACATGCCAGGAGATGTTTGATAGAATGGACATCCTTCTGCTTCATGGGCAAATAAATCTGACAATCATCAGCATAACAATGGAAAGAAATCCCATGTTTCCTAAGGACAGAACCCAGAGGCAGTAAATAAAGAGAGAAAAGCAGAGGGCCTAAAATTGAGCCCTGCGGGACACCATAAGGCATTGAAACAGCAGATGATTCAGAGTCACTAATTTTCACTGAAAATGTTCTCTCCTCCAAATAAGACCTAAACCADTTAAGAACAGTGCCATCAATACCAACAACGTGGTGTAATCGCGATATTAAAMTGTCGTGGTCTACTGTATCAAAGGCAGCAGTTAGGTCAAGTAAAATCAGAACAACATGGTTACCAGAATCACATGCAGAAAGGATGTTCTTGTATTGCCTCTATGCTAATTTTGTTAATTTATACATTAATAATATATATTATTTTGCTCATTTTGACCTATTTAAAATAAACTTTATTGATCCCACAACAGGGGAGTGTTCACATTACTGCAGCTCAGTACAGGAGAGGCTGAAATGAAATATAATAGAATAAAAAACACTATATACATAAAATATAATGATGCACAGATACAGTACATATACACACATATACACCAACCCACTTTATATACAGATATCAAACCAACATATATGTTTATATTCTGTAATATTGTGTACAACATACACAGTATGCATCATGGATGGGTGAGTGTAAATAAACAAATGAAATGAACATGTAAAGGTGTGAATAAGTGATTTTTTTTCTGTTTCTGTTTAGCATCGTCACAGTTGCTAGGTGACAGGCTGGAGTAAGGGTGGGAATAAAGCTGAAGGCTAGAACGTCCTAATCCACAACCACATTCTTCCGCTCTTCATGGTCAACAAAAGACTCGGCCCACATAGACCCAGTAGGCCGGCTCCTTTGAAGGACGCAGCCCCTCAATTTTAACACGGCCTGCGTGGATTAATGCTATACTAAATGTGTGTAACTGCAAGTTGTCATCGTGGTGGAATAAACAATTTTTAGGTTCAACACACCCAATGATTTATTATGGAGGAAACAAAAACATTGTTTTAGCTGAAATCATTGTTAAATAATAATAATAATAATAATAATAATAATAATAAAGTCTTCAGGCATAAATGGGTCTAAAGAAAATAATTCAAGTAGTAATGAATGTACCTTTTCAATGTACTGCTCTGAAGATCAGGAATTGTTCCTTGGGTTGTATTTGGTGGCAAACATGAACGTTTTTATGTTGTTTTATGTAAAAACACACAGTCCATTTTACATTGAGTCATTAGGATATCAAGTTACTGAATAAGTTCATGTTTCTTACCTTGCCTATGATCCTGGGAAAAGGAGCTCTCTGGTTCTCAGTTACAATCATCGGAGGGACCAGTATGGATCTCCTTGATCTGTTTGGTAGCTTGTGSCCAAGACCCAGAACATTCTACAATGAAACAAAGACAAACATGTAGCTAATCTTAAAATAACTTGAAATGAATTTTATGTCTTGTTTTGATGTATATTATTCCACTCTTACATTACCATCATGATTCATGCCCCCTAAAATGACAATTTTTAGCTTGCATTAAAAAGTGTAATTATTTAAAGCATAATTATATATATATATATATATATATATATATATACAGTATATCTTAACAGAAAAAAATCCTCTACTGATAGAGACATAAAAAAAACAGCAGAAAATGTTTTTTTCCTCTGGCAGGCATATGGGTTATGCGTTTAGAGAGGAGAAATGGAGAAATATTCTCAGAGCAAACATGTAATAAGCGCCCCTGCAGCTCTCCTTGGAATTAAATTTATTTTCTATAATTCAGTATTCAGCTTGTGTGTTAAATAAAGACAGAAGAGAAAGGTAGGAAAGGCAAAGCAAAAACACAAGTAGAGGGTAAAAATAAAGAAATGAATGATGACAAGGTTTTGGTAAAGCAATTGCATCACTCGAGCAGATGGAGTTATTCTGAAAAGTTGTTTTGATCTTAGAAAACACAATAGCATAATCTGATTTCATTTTCCAGCCTCCTGCTGTTGTAAACAAAGAAGTGTTTTTCTTTACAATTTAAAATACTGAAAAATGTTCCCATCTCTTCACCTCCAAACTGCTGATACATTTGAAGCTTTTTGTCTTTGTAGACCGATGAGAATAAAGTCTGTCAGTGACACCTGGCAGCTGGGGGTTGAATCCTGGCTGCTGATATCAGGGTGATGACCTACAGGGGAGGACAGAGTGCTGACTGCCCACCTGGACAAAGACTCACACTCAATTGCYGTGTCATAACACAACCAATTTGTGTTGTGGGAAAATGTGACTCAGCTCAAGAGAATCTGATCTTCTCTGTGTCTGCAGCTTTTCAAGGAGCATCATTTTGTTGGGTAAAACAAACACATATTTACATCTATTGCTAACTATTTAGGTTAATTAGCTACTAGTTTTTAAAGAAACTAGCTAATTAAATCTAAAATAAAAAGTTGATTAAGTCCTCTGGACAGGTTCTTTTTTGTTGAAAACATTTTGTCTTCTCCAAGAGACTTAATAAACTCAGCCTTAAAAGCTGTACTTTCACATGGTGGATGAACAAGTTTAACAATGACAATCAAAATTGTTTGTTCACATGCAAAAAGAGGATCATCATTAGCAGTGGTAGGCTGAGCTAATCCAAAAATTAGCTCTGCGATTTCTGAAGCGCTTATGAAAATATTTAGGTCTGCAACTTCAGAAGCATTTATGCTACAGAAAAACTAGCGGAAGCTAATTTTAAAGTGCAAGTTCAATTTGACACTCACTAGCTGGCAATAATTTATATCTGCACAATACTGTCAACTAGCGGAGTACGAACTCTTCGACAGCTTAAACCTACAACCGCCGATTGCTGGGGATGTGATTTCATGAAACAGACCTTTGGCTCATAGTGTAAAAATTTAAAAGTTGTTGAGGATTGCTAGTTCAGCTGCTTCGTCTTTTTCTTTTGTTTATTGTATATTTTT